TGCGCTTGTTTAAAAAATTTTACAGGCTGGGTTTGTGGCTCAGTGATAGAGTGCTTGCTTACCATGTGTGAAGCTCTGGGTTCAATAATCAGCATCACATGAAAATAAATGAATAAAATAAAGGTACCAAAAAATACAACGACATTTTAAAAAAATTCTAACAACACAAATGAGTATAACATGAGATATAAAAGCTGTCTTCTTATGTATCCATATATAATATAATTATAGTTGAGCATAATCATAACCATTATTTTTTCCCAGAAAATATGTACAAATACACATATATTATATAAATATGTGTATAAAATAAAATCTTTGGAATCCTCCCTTATAATGATACTGTATTCTATATATTTTTTTAAACTCAAAACAGTCTCTTCTGAATGGCTATATAGTATTCCATTTTGTAGAGCCACTGTTGTTTATTTAATCATTTCTTAATGGGCATTTAAGCTTCCTCTAGCTTGTTACTATTACGAATAATAGAATCATGCTATCTCTATACAGTATATATTTAGCTCCTTGCACAGGTGTTTCTATGGGGAAAATTCCTAGTAGGGGAGTTGCTGAATTAAAGCAAATGTGCTTTTTAAATTTTAATAGCTATTGTCAAATTGTTTTCCAAAGAGGTTATACCAATTTACATTTCATTAATGGTACATGAGAGTTCCTGTTTCCCGTACTCTTGAGTACAATCAAATTTTATTTCTGCAAATATACTAAATGAAAGACAGTATCTTGTTTTAACTTACACTTTTTAAATTATCTAAAAACCTGAAACTTTTTTTTCTATATTTATTGGCTTTTTGCTTTTCTTTCCCCCTGCAAACTATCTACCTTTTACCTATTTTTCCATAGAATTGTTCACTTTTCTGTTGTTTATTTTTAGATCTTTTTGTGTGTCCAAAAACAACCCCAATTTATTCTCTTTCCTGTTATATAAATCACAAACATTTTTTTCTATCTTGTGGTTTATTTCTTGATGTTGTTTATAGTATTGTCTTGCAAAAGTTTTAACTTTTATGTGAGTAAATTGGTCATTCTTGTCTCATATATCTCCTGACCTTCCCCAGTTCAAAATTATGAAAAAAAATTACCAATGGTTTTTCTAGGATTGTTTTGGTATCTAGGATTGTTTCACATTTAAGTTATTGGTCCACCTAGAATTTATTGGGTATAAGAAGTAAAGCACTTCAACACTTCTTTACTCCCCTGACTTGCTTGTCACGACAGCATTTTTGAATTATTCACATTCTTCAAGTGACTTAAAATACCACTTTATTTATTTTTTAAATTCTCAAATATATTTGAGTCTATTTCTGGGCTCTTAGTTCTCCATTAATGACTTTATAACTTTATATTTCCTATAATTTCTCTGTAATGTAAATCTGTATTTCTTGTTATTTCTCTATCTTTAAAATATATTTTTTTGGGGGGTGGTACCAGAGATTGAACCCAGGGGTATTTAATTATTAAAAAGAGCCACATCCCAGCCCTTTTTATTCTTTATTTGAGACAGGGTCTCACTAAGTTGCTTAGGGCCTTGCTAAATTTCTGAAGCTGGCTTTGAACTTGCGATCCTCCTGCCTCAGCCTTCTGAGCCACAAGATTACAGATGTGCGCCACTGCACTCAGGTAAAATATCTTAATATTGAGTAAAACTAGTTCTGTCTTGTTTCCCTGTTTATAGTTGTGTTGGCTATTCTCACACCTCTATTATTGCATATGAGCTTTATATCATTTTGTCAAAGTCCCCCCAAAATCCTACAAACTGTCTAGTATTTGGATGAGAATTACAATTGCTTCTGGGGAAGGTAATATTATCTTACTTTCTCCTGTTCTTTTATGTTCCTGTATCAATCAGGATGGGGTGGACAATTCTGCAAGAATAATGAAGTCCCCAGATCTCACAGTTTAACTCAACATAATTTTGTGCCAATTCTAATGTGGTGGGGGCTGCCCTGGGCAGACTATTTTGATCTTATAGCTCTGCATGATCAACAGAGGCCTCTGGGAACAGTGGAAGAGATTGTGACTGCTTAACAATTACCTATGAGCTCCCTGGAATTTCCAGCCCCCTTGTAGTCAGGTGGGCCATAAGTAAGACTATTCTGACCAAATGATCTGGAGCAGCAGTGATATATCACTTTCAGGATCAAAGCTTAAAAGAGCGTGTTTAAATCTTCCCTTGTCATTGGGTTGCTGAGGTCATGAGTTGAGATGACAGAGCTGAAAACAGATATTTCCTCAATAGCTGAACCCCTTCGTCATAGGTCAGCTGCCCTGGAGACCCACTTGGATCACATCAGAGCAGCTGTGATTTTGAAAATATCTTTATTGTGTTCAGGCCACTGAGTGTCCAGTTAAGTCATTATTGTAATGTTAAAAAAATTACAAAAAAACTTTCCTGGGAAGCTGCAGAGAAAAAAATTAAAATATTGACTTAACAGTCAGGTGATGGCAACATGGAAACTGAGCTGGGATAAAAACAGAAAACAAAAGGTTTGATTGAGATGACCTCAAAGGCAGACCTTGTGTGAAGTAGTAGGTAGCAATGAGCAGTGAAATGCAGGCAAGGTCACAAGCGTTCTTTAAAATACTTTAGGGTCTTCTTGAAAAAACTTCCAAAGTAGACAAGAAATCAAAGGGTGGTAGCTAATTTGTAGAAAATAAACAGAAGCAAGGGAGCTAGTTGGAAATCACATCAAGGGAAAAGGATTAATGGGACTAACTCTTGACAGGGTCCCTTGATATTGATGTAAAGCTAGGAATTATGGCAGTAAGTGTCTCCAATAGTCTGGGAAAGAAAATTCCTTTAATAGCACAGATGCACTAAGGTAACTTCTGACCAGCTATTGACCCCAGTGCCTACATTACCACAGAATTGATTTGTAGATGAAGCCCCGCCCCCCTAAATAGAATGGCCACCATGATAGTTGCAGAGAGGACCAACTAAGATAAAAAAAACTCCACTTCCATGGGGCTGGGGTTGTAGCTCAGTTGTAGAGTGCTTGTCTCACATGCATGAGGTCCTGGGTTCAATCCTCAGCCACCACATAAAAATAAATAAATGAAAAAAGTAAAGACATTGTGTCCATCTACAACCAGCAAAAGAAACAAACAAAAAACTCCACTTCCTGAAGTGAAGGAGGAGTTGAACACCTAATTGGCAAAGAGTACAGAAAATGGTCACCAGTTCTCCTGGTAGACATCAAACAGTAATAAACTTGGAGATAGCCTTGTCTCCTTTGTCATTGTCTGCTGGGGACAGCTCTCTCTCTCTCTCTCTCTCTCTCTCTCTCTCTCTCTCGTGCTTTCTGCTTAAGCTTCACTTTGCTTTTACTTTATTTCACCTATAATACAGTTCTCTTGCATGGCTTTTGGTGTCTGACTTTGAATTTCCTTTCATCAGAACACAAGAACAGAGGTCAGAGTTTGGGCTGACCTCTATCCCTGCTTTTCCATGACACCTGTACCTATTAAACTGGTGTTTCAGGGGGGAAATGTCAGAAATCAAAACCTGAGTGCTGACCTATGTGGTCGCTACTGGCTGTATCTGACAAAAGGTTGGGGAATGGGGAGAAGAAGAAAAAAAAAAGAGGAGGAGGAGGACAAAAGAAGAAAGAGGGTGAAAGGCGAGTGACTCACCCGAGACAGAGATTCAACCAAGGGATTTTATTGGGGGGGCTGCCCAAGGGGGAAGAAAAGCAGAGGCAGAGAGCAGAGAGAGGAGAGGAGGAGGGCAGAAAGAGTGAGCTTGTAAGCTTCGGTTTAAGAAGGGTTGCATAGGCCATATAGCAGGTGCTGATTGGCAGGGTGACTCAGGACACTGTGTTCCGTGGGGATTGGTCGAGAAAACTTTTGAATCTGGAGCCCTTTGGAGAGGAGGGGGAGGTGTAAGGGATTACCCGTGATGTTCTCACAAGACAGAAACTTAACTTCAGTGGGGAGTCTCCCACACACCCAACAGAGGGGAAGAAGAAAAAGAAGTTGTTTCCGTGACAAGCAAACAAAGGGACAAAGCACATTGAGAAATACAATCATCCCTCAAGGAGAACTCTAAACATGGTTGGTTGCTCATAGAAATATCTGGAAGCAGACAGAGGGGCCTAATGGTTTCAAGAGTTGTGAGCAGTGCAAAGAAACCAAGAGCCCAGTTGAAAAATCCCAAGGCACCAGCTCTAATTCAGGGCAGGACACAGGCTGGGAAAGCTGTGTAGCTCAGTACTCAGGTGAGACCAAGTAAGGCAACGGAGAGGAAGGACTCTCCAGAGAGCAGAGCCAAAAAGCTCTGAGAAGTGCCCCATGCCTGGGGGGACAGTCCCAGAACTCAGGCTGTGCTCCAGGCCCAACCTCCATTGGAGTGGTTTGAGCCAGTGTGGGGCAGATGTCCGAAATCTGACTGATCAGATTCTCTGAGAAACTCGAGATGGAGGCTGAGATGTTGCCTTGTTCTGAGTCATCAGAACTAAGGACATCATGGGGAGGGTCATCCTCACCCAACAAGTGTGCCGAGAATTCTATAGAGAAAGCTGGTCTTCTCTGTAGAGAACAGAAAAAAATGCATCTTGTGGAGAACAAGAGAGGAACAATCATGTTTAAAGGGAGAAGATGAAAAGAAAGAGAGAAGTGTGTTTCTGCCTGTGTCCTGCAAGCTTTCTAGTCTCTCGGGCTCCCCTTGGTCGAATCTCCTTGAGCACCAGCTGCTTTCCTGTGGGCATCAGGAGACTCCCAAGCATCATGGCAGTCTATCTCCTTTTATTATTTAAGTATGATTGAATGGGTTTCTGTTTCTTTAAATCAAAAGAACCTCGACTGAGACAGTTCTCATACCTTATCACTGCAAAACCTCTCCAGGAAGGGCTGGCCCCTTCCTTCCTGCTGCACTGGCTGTGGTTACAGCATAGCAGTGAGATTTCTCCTCAGCATGCTCTGGGTTTAAATTATTACCGGGCAAGAGGAGTAACTGGAGAATTGGTTTATGCTTCCATCCCCACCTAGACTGTCCAGGCTTAAGAATGGCATCTTTAGTAACATTGAGAACAGCAATAATATGATAAAGTAAAACATGGATAATTCCAATTATCCTTAATTTCTTAATTGGGCTAAGAAAGAAGAAACTCTCTTCTTTATCTTTCTTATCAATTCAGTTCTGCTTTCTGGGAAGATTATTTTCTATCATCTCCTTTCTTCTAACACCTGTAACATCTCCCACCCTTTTTTACTGTCAGCTGAAGAACATCCTTCTGATTCCACTGAGACCAGACATAACCGTCTGATGGCCAGACATAACTGTCGTATCCTTCGCCAAATCTGCAAAACTAATTGCACCATGCCCGTGTCCTCTGCCCTGCATCCTGCTCCTATCAGTGCTGTCCAACAGGGTCTTCTATGGTGATAGCAATGTCCATCTCTCTATCACAAAGCCATAAGCCACATGTGGCTAGTGGCTGCTGTGCAGGACAGCCAAAATATAGAGCACTCAGTTTTGCTATAAAGGGAAATGGGCGTCATAGAGGGATAGGGGCCAAAGCAACAGTGCTTTTTTAAAGTCCAATAACCTTCTGGTTTATCTTCCCTCAATCTTATGCCTGGAGGGGAGGGTCAAGTTTCCAGCTGTGAAAGATGGCAGGGCCTGGTTGGTGAACTGGTTTTCCAATAATTTTCAGGTCCATCAGGCCCATCTTCACCCCTTACTCCCAGGTGATCCCGTATCACAAATCCTGAGCCTTTTGATGTCTCTGTGGTGCCATCCAGATCACTTCTAGTCCTTCCCAAGAGCCTCACTGATCTTCTCAATCAGGTATGTTGCCATACTGCTCTCTAGCTTCTACATGTGCATGTTAGGGGGAGGGGCATGTGTGCTGTCATTAAAAATACTTTTTTGGTCTCAGATTTAGTGAGGTTTTAGAGGAAGCAGAAGTAAAAGCATGTGTGAGATCAGCCATCTGTAACCAGGCGCTTCCTCATTCCTATTTGAATGAGATTCTAAGCAAGTTTTCATCCTCTACCAAATCTACGTTTGCCACAGTAACGCGAGGCCTTCCCATTGCCTGTTCTGTGGTCTATTCTCAGTTATCTCATTTGACCACTTTGTAGGATTCACGTGGTTGATCAATGGCTTTTGGAACCCCTCACCATCCTCACTATTTTCTACATTTGGCATTCTTTCCCTCTCCTATATTTTGAATGCACTTTAAAAAATTAAGTTATAATTTAAATAGAGTAAAATACACAAATCTTAAGTGCACAATTCAATTAGTTCAGTAAATGCATATACCATTAACTCACACCCCAAGCAGGATGGAGAACATTGACATTCTTATTTTCTTCTACTGGGGATCCTCCTCTTCCTTTACCTGACTGTTAAATGTTGGAGTTCCCAAGGGGCTCAGTCCTTGGGCCTCCCGTGATTCTATCTATGTTGTCTCTCAATATTTAATCCCTTGGCTTTCTGTACCATTTAGACTTGTGCTGTCTATACAGTAACCACTAGCTCCATGTAGCTATCACATTTGAATTGAGTTTTGCTATGAATGGAAACTACAGACTGGAGTTCAAAGACTGCGCATATTAAAGCATCATTTGGTACATATATTTACAATAGGGACAATTTTAATTTTTGTTTGATAATTTCAACTTGTCCTTTAGTGCCATAAAGACGCTACATATATTTATAACAAATTTTTATGTATCAGTTACACTTTTTTAGAAAAGGATATAAAATAGCTAATTGATATTTTTACATTGACTGCATGATAAAATACGATTTTGGATGTTTTGGGTTAAATAAAAATATTACTAAAATTAACTTTTTCTATTTTTTCCACTTTAAAAAAATATAGCTATTAGGAAATACATGTAACTTACATTTCTACTGGATGCCTCTAACATTGACAACTCCCAAATTTATATACCCAGCCTCAAACTCTCCTAAACCCCAGGTTTCACATGCAAATGCCTGCCTGACATACCCACTTTGCTGTATCATAGGCATTTCAAACTTAATAGCTCCCAAATGGAATTTCAGGACTTTCCTTACCCTATCTATTCCTCTCCAATTTCTCCTGTCTCAGTAAAAAATACCACTCTTTTTATTCAATTGCTCAGACCCAGAACTTTGGAATCATTCTTGACTGCTCCTGTCTCTCACTGTCCACATCCATTCTATCACAAATGCATACAGGATTAGGCAGCTTCTCACCTTTAACCCCATCTGGCACAGGCCATTGGATCCCACATGCCAGTCACAGGCTCCCGTATGTCCTGGCTTGCCCACTTCCCTCAACCAGTCACTTCTCTGAACCGCAGCCAAATGGATTCTGTTACAAACATTTGACAGATTAAGTTACTGCCTTACTCAAGACCCTCAAGACCTTTTTGATCACACCATAAATCGAGAGTCCTTACCATGCTGTGCAAGGTCCTCCCTGATCTCTCCCTGGCCATTGCTCTGAACCCCTTCTCACCTTTTCCCCATGCTCTCTGCACGTCCCCTGCACCACACCTTGCAGTCTCTCTTACATGTTTCCATCTCAGGGGCTTCCCCCTGGTTGCTTCCTCTGCCTAGAATGTGCAATTCATGGTTTTCCACAAGGTTCACTCTTCAGATCATTCAAATGTCACCTTTTTCAGAGAGACCTTAGAAACTTTATCTAAAGCATCACTTTCGTTACCTATACCTCTATTGATTTTTTTTAGTTCTTCTTGACTTTCACTCCCTGGCCTTGTTATGTATTTATTTGCTTATTCTCTGCGTCCTCCACACAAATGTAGGCTTCATGAGAGTAGGACTCAGACATTTTTGTTCATTCCAGTGTCCCCACCACCTAGAACATTGTCTGCCACATGGTTGGTGCTCAAAAGTTACTTTTCAAATGACTAAGTAAGTGTATATGGATGAATGAATTGAAGAATTGAGTGAATTGGAAGCTGAGCCAGTTTTTGCATTAACATTGGCGGGAAAAGTAAGTTCTATGAAGGCAAAGCCAGGAAAATGAGTCAGACGCTGGCAGGAATCCAGCTTCCACGGGTCAGCACCATCCTGGAGAGCTGGGGGTGAGGTTCTGGCCATCTTCCCCTTGGCTCCTTCCCTTAGAAGAGCACAATGCAACTTGTTTCTTTACTCTTTTAAATTACTTCTATTGTTAGGAGTAACATTGTAATTACCACCACCACCCCCTTTTTTTTCTTGTCATAGATCATTGACACCATGCCAGAAAATCACCTGCCCAGTCATTGTCTGTGCTGCTGCCATTCTTACCAGGGTGTGGCAGATGGTGTTCAACTCTCCTGCTCTTCAATTTTCAGAATTAGATGTCATGGTTATATCCTGTCCGTTCCTCCCAATAAACCAGAGATGGGATTCAATGATGAAGTACCAAAATGAGAACCAGCAGTCCTGAAGTACAATTCAACCCCATTGTAATAGTCTTAATAATTGATAAATTCCCACAGATCTGACTTATCAAATCTTCTTTGTTAAAAATACATAAAGTCTTCTTTGTCTATGCAACATTCTACGCAGTGGTGAATCTGGGTTATTCTCTACAGCTGCTACCTTTTAAGAACTAAGAAAAATTACATTGTTATCGGCAGCTTCTACTTCTTTTGTAAATATAATTTTGTAATATGTTTTTGTTGTTTGAAATATTAGAAAATACAGTTAAATAAAAAGAAGAAAATTTAAAAACATCTATGATTCTAGTATACCATTAACATTAGTTTGTATCACTTCCAGAATCTTTCTTCTGAAAACACATTTCAATGCATGTATAACATTGATAAATAGATAAACTGCACATTCTTACATTGAGAAAATCTTCTTGCAAATATATGGGTTATATGCAAAAGCTAATGCTGTTGGGTGAACACCTTTTATCAGCATATTTCTTGTCCATTAATATCACAGCCACTATCTGCAAAACTTCTGCTCCCTGAATATTGATATATCCATTCTTGACGGGGAAAAAAAAGTGTGTGCCAAACTGCTAGTAAATAGCACCATTCTGCAAAAAGTAGTGGCCAAAGCCAAAACCCCAAGGCAACATATATCGCTGGTAAAATATGTGAAATTAATAACACTTATGAAATCTGAAAAGGCCTAGTAAATTTTATGACTAATGACAAGGACATTTAAATTAAAAAAAAATTAAATGAAAACCAGTGTTTCTCAGTATTTGTAAGGAGTATTATTGTAGATATATTACTCAGTTCCTCTATCCATAATTTGAAAACCATTGTGAACTTTTCAAAGTGGTCATTTGAAATAAATAAATCAGTGTATAAAAATCAGGGTAAATTACGAGAGTCCAATGATTACAACTAAAACATTGCCTTTTAATTTATTTTTTAAACAAATTAGCAACCAGAACAAACATTAAACAAATTTATAGCATTAATAAGCCATTTAACTTAATTTTCCCTTCTTCACTTCCACTTCCTTCTCCTTTTCTTGCTTTTTTTTACTTTGCTAAAGAAGTGCTGAACTAGAACCAAAGCAAAAGATTCAAATATTGTCTAGACTGGATCTAACTGAACTCACAGTCCTTTTATTTTGAGATTCTTCTTCAAAGATCAATGAGACTCAAGAGGAATCTCCCACATATAGACAGATGGAGTATTTCTGGGTCTACCCTGAAAGTGACTGTCAATCAAACTTAATTAGCACAATCTGGCAACAGGCTAGCATGCTAAGAGTGATCACCTTGCTTTCTCCTGAAGATAAAGGACCAGTTGGCGTTCGCAGCCCCATCTCTTCTCCAGAACTTTAATAAAGGGCGGTCAAAAATCATCATTTAGCAACTTTGCAGTCACCTAGTCTGTAGTCACTCTTCTGATTTCTCAGAAAATAATAAAACTTCACTCACCCGCATCATTATACAAAATACATGTATGAAGATGTGAATTTATGTCAACATACCTTATGTATAATCAGAGATATGATAAATTGTGGTATAAAGATGTATTAAGAATTGTAATGCAAAAATAAATAAATTAATAAATAAATAAGGTTAAAAAATATAGCTTCACTCATTTATTCACTTATTCGAAAGACATTTATTGAGAACCTTCTTCATATCAGGTGCTGCAAAGGCTTTAGAGATATAAGATGTGGTATTTAATTTTATGTGTCAACTTGACTGGGCCAGGGCTGCTCAAATATTTGGCTAAACATTATTTCTGGATGTATCTGTACAGGTGTTTCCAGATGAGATTAGAATCAGTAGATTTTATAAAACAAATTGCCCTTTTCCATGTAGGTGGGTGTCATCCAATCTGTTGAAGGTTGGAGTAGTACAGAAGGTGAAGGATGGAAGAATCAGTCTCCCTTTACTGACTGAATGTTGAGTTGGAATATCTCGTCTTCTCCTGTCCCCAGACAGACATTTAGGCCATCAGCTAAATGATTCTCCATGTTTCGCAGACTTGGTTCTCAGGCCTTTAGACTCAGACTGAACAACACTATTGGCTGTCCTGGGTCTCCAGCTTGCAGATGGCAGATCGTGGGATGTCTCTGCTTCCATAATTGCATGAGAAAATTTCTCAAATTAGCTT